CGTTGGACCACTCGGCCTGCGCAAGGGCCCTCTTCTTGACCATTTCGCCGCTCTCAAACACATCGCCGTCTTGGTCCCGGCTGTATGCACGCACCTCGACCTCGGCAGCCACTTCGACATCGGCAGGGACATTGAACTTGATGTGCACCATCTCGAGGTCTTCAATGCGTGTAAGAGACGTGTTGTAGTCCACCATCTGCATCATGTTCTTGAAGTACGGTGAACACGCACAGGGCAGGTTGAGCAATACCTCGTGCGCCTGTGGTGGGCAAATGTGTTGCTGCTCATGGTGCTCAGGAATGTGCGTCCAGCACAGCTGAGTCGGGCGAGTGAGGAACCACCACGAGTCGGCAGCTGAACTGCCAGCACCAGAGTAGAGATGCCGGCGGGGGTTGGAGGGGCTGGCGAGACAACAGTCAACCATACGCCACTCGTTGTCGACCAGGACTGCGTTCCACCAGTGGTTGGACCGGGGCATGATGCCAAAATCTGGCGTTTCGCCCGGTGTTTTGAGGTACCCGCGGACTACCTCGCACTCGATGCCCACGGCGGCACACATCTCCATCACCAAGACAGCGTACTCTTCGGCGCAGGCTCGTCTGCTTTGAATGACGCGCCTGGTATCAATTTCGCCCTCAAAGTCTTCTTCCCACGCTATCCTCTCCGAGACCCAGGAGAAGATGGCGCGCATGCGCTGGACGTCGCTGCGATACGGACGGCAGACGTAGGATGTCGCCAAGGTGACGGCTGTTGTAAGCGGAGGTAGACTGCTGATGAAGCGAGTGCTCTTGTCGACCTGGCTGAGGTTGATAGACTGGTAGTCGATTGGATCGTCAACGGGCATGCCATTCGCGCCTTCGTCACCCTCGGCACCCTGGTAGAGTTCGTCTACGGGGTTGAGAGCGGGGTGGTCAAGCATTTGGCACCGATCTTGGCGCTCGTGGCGCTCAATCTTGCTCAGCGAGTTGGAGCGATTGATGTCTCGGCGGACCTGGACCCAGTCTACCCCAGACCCCAAGCCCATCTCCTTGGCAGCATTCCTCTCGACGGATGAGCTGCCAAGGCCTGTCATGGAGGACATTCCAGAGGTTGCAGGGGAGACTGCGGTCGTTGAGCGGGAAAAGGGTGATGGCCTGGCCAAATCGGCGCCGGACCCCAAGTTGCTCCGGCTGGTGGCCACACCAGTCTTTGCTGTGTCGAAGAGCTTCTTGAACAGGCTGCGTTTCGGCGCTCTAGGCTGCACGAGCCCACCAAGGCCAGAGCCCATCTCGTCGTTGAAACCTGCTTGCGATTTTGGTCGGGATGCATCGGATGCGTGACTGCTGTGGTATGTCACACCAGTAAAAGGGCTGTCGGGTCGGTCTATATCGAGGTCTCGGATGCCCAGGGCGCTCTGGGCGCGTTCTCGTCTCTCATTCTTTCTGGCGAGGCTGCCGGCACTGGTCGCGCTGATAGCACCGGCCGATACGCCGCTCATCAGGCTCCTATTCGTGCTTTGCGTCGTCGCGCTCTGGTTACCGGAAGATGCGCTCGTGGAGTTAGTCTTGGTTGTAAAGGAGCGGCCTAGGACATTTCGACCAACATCGTAAGCTGACTTTCGAGTCCGCACTTTCTTCTCGGGGGCAGGAGCCTCGCCCATGGATGACTTTGGTCGTTGATATAGATTGCCCTTTGGTGGCGGGGGTGGGGGCTCGTCGTGACTGGTTGTGCTGTTGCTGTGCTGCAAGCCTTGTAGTCGAGTTTCCATACGTTCGACATAGTTGCTGAGCTGGGGCGCGTCGTGTGCATCCTCTCGCTGGCCGTTTTGATAAGAAGCCTCCTGCGAGGATCCTCCGCTCCAGGTCTCGTAGCCCTCATCTTGATGACCCAGTCCCATGGACGTCTGGGGACGCTGGGCAGTCTTGTTTTTTGCACGGTGGCTGACCATATCAAAACACTCCGGAGACCAGGGATCAAGCGGTGCGGGTTCGGGGGTCCTTGTGTCCCTGGGCATACCCAAGGCATCAAGTTGCTCAATGACACCATCCATGGCTTCCCGGAGAGGTGACGGCGTCATGTGGCTGCCACCAGGTGATGGAGGGCAGGGTGACGGCATTCGAGGGGTCTGGAGCCCGTCTTGGCGGTGCTCATAGGATAGGTTTGAGCCTTGTCTCCCACCGCCGGCGTACCGAGATTCTTGGCTGGGGTGGAAGCTGTTGCGGGAGGCATTGACGTGACGATGGGGCGGTGGAGGTGGTGGCGGCGGTGAATCTTCGCGTGCTGGCTCATCATACGTCTCCTTGTGATACGTGTCGATGAAGGAAGGAACCGGTGACACACTGCGAGCCAGCGGCGGGGCCGGAGAAGGAGCCCGAGAGTGGTGGTTGTATCCGAACGAAGGCGCAGGAGATGGCGCGCGAGATCCGTAGCTGCCGTGGTGGTGGTGTGACGGAGGTGGTGGTGCAGGAGATGCAGCCCTGTGATAGTCCTGTGGCGGAGGTGCTGGCGAGAGGGCTCTAGGGTGTTGCTGATAAGCTTGCGGCGGGGCGGGTGATGGCGCTCGCGATCCGTAGCCAACGTGATGCGGTGGAGCTGGTGATGCGGCCCGGAAGTCGTTCCTATGTTGTTGTTGAGGAGGAGGAGCGGGGGACGCAGCTCGGAAGTCATGATTCCTCTGGGGAGGTGGAGCTGGCGAAGCAGCTCTGTAGTCGTAGCTCCTCGGTTGAGGAGGCGCTGGCGAGGCGGCTCTGAGGTCATAGCTCCTCTGCTGGGGAGGTGCGGGCGAGGCAGCTCTGTAGTCGTAGCGATGCTGCTGTTGCGGCGGTGGCGCGGGTGAAGGCGCGCGTGAATTGTAGCTGCCGTACTGCTGATGATGAGGGGCAGGCGACGACGCTCTGGCGTCGTAGCTCCTATGATGCTGCAGCGGTGGCGCTGGCGATGGGGATCGGCCAACGTGGGCGGGAGGCTGGTACGAGCTGGCCGAGTTGTCACGGGCGCGCGTGTGCGGGCTCTCTCGGACGACCTCTGGCTGCTTCGCCGTCGTGTAGTGAGGCGCTTTGGCGTATGCCTCAAAGGGCTTGCGGAACGTCTTGGATTTCTGGGGCACAGGCTTGGGATTGGGCGTGTGGTCGGGCAACGGGCTGACGGATCTCGTCGTCGGGCGGAAGTTGGGCGGTAGGAGTTCGACAAAGTTGGAGGGGAAGACGCCGACGGTCCTCCTGTCGCGCCATAGCTTGCCCGTCCACCAGGAGCCGTCTCCGGCGTTGAGGCATTCGATCAAGTCGCCTTCGATGAAACCAAGGTCGCGTTTCGACTAGGCTGAAGTATTAGCAATCAAGAGCCACAAGACAGCAGGGCGCCATGCACAGGTCTCGAACTGACCTCGCCTCCCCAGGAGTAGACTGCTCGGCACCAGCAGGGAAACTGCGTGGGCAGCGGCGGCGGTGCGAGCACCATCTCGGGGAGCTGATGGAGAGAAAGATCTCTCGCGGCCTCCTCAGAGGGGAGTTGGCGAGATAATGGTTGTTGATTTTAGGCGTGGCCGGTCCTCGATGGCAGCCCAACGCGGTAGAAATGTCGGTGAGGCCGCAATGGGCGAAGCGGTGAAGAGCAAAAAACGTGCGACTGGAGAGGCAGCGAAGATTCAACAGTCGCAATACACTACAGCAAGCATATCTGCCAAATGGTCGAGAGGAAGAGACAGGCTGCGCAAAGGGCGAGCGTCACGACGACCCTGTCGACGTAGAAACCCGACCAGTGTGGTATGTAGGCAGGCCAGGTATGAGCAAAGTGGGATATACAACCTCTGACGCGACGGTGCCAATGCCAGAAAGAGAAGGTTTGGCGGTGTCGTGGAATTAGATGAGCAAGCGAAGCGAAGGGGGGGGGGGATGTGATGGAGATGGGCACGGGGATGAGGACGAGGCTGATGCTATGAGCTACGAGTTGCTGTGCCTGCCTGGCTCTGACCATGCTCTGATCCTGCCTCTTCTTGCTGGGCGCTGCTGCCAACAAACAGAGGGGCTCGTTGACGGGGCGACGGTCTCTGATGTGTCGGTGTCCACTGTCCACGTTAGCGTGAGCTCCGTTACTGGGCGGTTGGCTGGCAGGTGGCAGGCCCCGGCCCCACCCCCGGTTTCTTCCAAGGATCTGTGGTATGTGGGCGCCACCCAGCACCAGGCCCAGCAGCAAGATGCAGCACCAGTCTCAAGATGCAAGTGCACCGGCAGCCATGGCGCATGCCCTATGGGAATGGGCCGCCTGGATGCCATCAATTGGACCGTTGCATTCAACTGGAATGCAAATGACCATCTGTCATCCATAGGGGTCTGCATCAAGGCTGTCTGGTCTCTGCAGCATGGCCGCCTTTATCTGTGGCAGGCCCCGAAGCAGTCAACTCCGTGATATATCGCTTCTGCACACCCTTTTTGCTCGCTTTGCACTGGCGTGAATCACCTCTTTCTTTCCCCCCCCTTTCCTTTGGGCCAGGGCCTGCTTGCTGTCCCGTCCAACAAGACACAGCACAGCACAGCACAGCGCACGATCACCCCTCCCAGAGAAAGCCTAGACGTCAGAGCTATACCGAAACGGAAGCAAAGTAAACAAAGGGCCCAAGCTTCCATCAACCCATCTCCCCCCCGGCCGTTGTCCCAGCACATGCACCCGCCAAACCTCAGATCCGACACGCCGACTGCAGGGTCCCTGCTCGCTCTCCCGGACAACCAGAACGACCCAGTTCGCCTGTGCTGAACCCGGTCCTCGAACCTGGGAAGCCTGGGTTCCCTTCCATTAAAACAACCTCGTCCACTGCCAGGCCCATAGTAACCATCTTTCGCTCGACCATCTCTACAACCTCAAGCAGAGCAACCCCGCCAATTGCTGTTGCGTCAAAGCCAGCTGTCTGTGCGATCGAGGTTGCCTCTCTCTCTACATCCATTGACCTCTAAAAAAGGTTCTCTCATCGATCGAACCTCCACCTCCACCATATATCGCCCGAAATGACGACCAGGAGGATGAACACAATGCCTGACGAGGGCGTCGCTGAGCACTACCAGGTTCTCGAGGAGCTGGGTCGTGGCAGTTTTGGCGTTGTCTACAAGGCCATTGAGAAGGCTACTGGCGAGACCGTCGCCATCAAGCATGTACGTCAACCACCATTTCCCTGCTTCTGCTGCGGGCTTGGCTGATCCATAATCTTTAGATCGATCTCGAATCCAGCGAGGATGATATCCAAGAAATCCAGGGCGAGATTGCTGTGCTTAGCACCTGCGCCAGTTCCTTCGTTACACAATACAAAGGCAGCTTCCTCCGAGGCCACAAGCTGTGGATCGTCATGGAGTACCTCGGTGGAGGCTCTTGCTTGGATCTCGTGAGTTTGAAGTCTACATATTATGGATTTCTTCTCTCTTTACCTCTTGTACTGACGGACTCAGCTCAAACCAGACAACTTCTCCGAAGGCCACATCGCCATCATCTGCCGCGAGCTTCTGCGCGGTCTCGAATACCTGCACGCCGAAGGCAAGATTCACCGAGACATCAAGGCTGCCAATGTTCTCCTTTCCGAGGTCGGCAAGGTCAAGCTCGCCGACTTTGGTGTTGCCGCACAATTGACCAACATCAAGTCGCAACGAAATACCTTTGTCGGCACGCCTTTCTGGATGGCGCCAGAGGTCATCCAGCAGGATGGATACGGTTTCAAGGCTGACATCTGGTCCCTGGGTATCACGGCCATGGAGATGGCCAACGGCGAGCCGCCCCTAGCCCACATTCACCCCATGAAGGTCCTCTTCCATATTCCCAAAAACTCGCCTCCCCGGCTTGAGGGCAACTTTAGCCGCGAATTCAAAGACTTCATCGCGCAGTGCCTGGTCAAGGACACTGAGCGCCGACCCACCGCCAAGGAGCTGCTGAAGCACCGCTTCATCCGCTCCGCCGGCAAGGTCGAGGCTCTTCAAGAGCTCATTCAGCGGAGGCAGATGTGGGACGTCAACCAGCAGCGCAAGTCCCACCCCATCTTCTACCAGGAGACTCTCAACACAATCTCTCCCAAGGACGACGCAGACGAGTGGGTGTTTGACACGGTCAAGTCAGTCATGCCCAAGAGGCCCACAGTCAAGTCTCGCAAGCCTTCGTCCATCTTCTCGACTGAAGAAGCCATGCGCAAGCTCGATCTCAAGGATGGCCCTCTTGGCCCTTCATCGCCAGCTCCTCAGACCATGCGCAAGACGACAGCCCGCCGCCAGCCCTCTGTCAGCCACACCCAAACGAATGGATCGCCACGTTCCACCGTCGCCAGACGCCCATTGCAACCCGACATGTCATATGGCAACTCGGGATCTACGATGCGCCTATTCCGCCGTGTTCCTTCTGACGGCTCGACGTCTGGTCACCTGAACGGATCGCCCGCCGAAGACGCGCCCAACAACGAGAACCGACCGCCCAGCATCATGGGCCCTGCCGAGGCTACCAGCAAGGAGGCATTGCTCGGACGCCGCCTGTACAACAAGGCCCTCGACCCGACGCTGGCCGAACTACACGCCCAAACCTCAGCCATGCACAAGCGGGAGGCCCTGGCCAAGCTTAGCGACGCGTTTGCCAACCTCGACGCCGTAGACCCTGAGGGCGCCTACCACTTGATGCGCAACCTCATGTCGGCCGTATCGCAGGACAATAGGCTGAACAATGCCTTCACGCCGCAGCAGTCCATCAAGATGCCTTCGGATGGTACCCCTCAGGGTACCGTCATCATCAACCGAAGGCGCGACGCCGGCGCCCAGTGGCAGCCCGACAAAGCT